ACCAGGCCAGGGGCCTCCACCGGGGCAGGGACCCCGACCAGGCCAGGGGCCTCCACCGGGACGACGACCCCCGCGGGAGCAGGGACCCGTACCAGATGTTCCGTTTGATGACGCTCCCATGGAGGAGCCCCCAGCGCCGCCTGGTGAACTTCTTTTCCTCTTAGGCCTCGCTGAGGTTGAATGGGTAGACCATCAGGATGGCGATGATCTCAACGTCCTTGACATGTGCATATCCCCCCCCGAGTCACCACCTATGTCACCACTGCCACAGCTTCAACAGGAAGGTAAGCAATCTATTTAACGCAAACTATTTAATTGATGTCGCCACATACCTCTACTACACTCTGAATGAGCAAGAATAATATTGCGTCTGGCGAAGATGCGTTCTTAAGCACATATCAATCAGATGCAAATTTGTATCTAACAAGATACAAATTGTACCTAGCTTAATTACAAATGTTTGTTTTTTTAATCTACCGTAGATAGACTGTCAAAAACACTGATAAACTAAGTGTGCAATTGCTTAACACTTGTAAGTGTGCAACTGCACTGAGAAATTTTATGTATTTTTTGTACATAGCTTGCCTGCCTAGGCCTATGAACATTCATAGCGTATGTAAAATTTCTTAGTTCTTATGCAGTATTTATACATAATTATGTAAGAATTCCTACATAAATCCTTAAGAAATTTTAAATACGCTATGTATGTTCATAGAACTACGTAAGCTATGTGCAAAATAGTACATAAAAATTTAGTGTGTGCAAGTCGAATACTTACAAGTGTGCAACTCCTCAGTTGAGCACTTGCTTAGATTGAACGCTCACTGTGTATGAAGTGCTCAAATGAGGAGTTGCACACTTGCAAGTGCACACCTACCGAGTTGAACACTGGCAAGTATACAACTACAGAGTTGATCATTTGCAAGTATTTAACTTGCAGTAGCACACTTACAAGTGTTAAGCAGTTGCACACTTAGTTTATCAGTGAAGTTGTCGGGATTTCACGAAGATTCACTTGACAACGCCCTTTGGGAATTTGATTTTTCTGAATAGTTGCGCATCCGGCTGGAGAGAATGGTGAGGAGGTTCCCTGGGAGCATCGTGTTGCTGTAACACCCCCACGCGCCCCTGCCAGGCTGCCTACGCCACCCATTCTCCTGAGCCCGCCTGTGCGCAGAGGTGAGCATTAGACTATAAACACAACAGTGACTTTGGGAAGTTATCCCAAGTGTAATACACTCAAAATCCGAAAGAACTTTTTCCGTCCATGGAAATATGCGTTTTTGTTAACATTTCAACGAGATGCACATTTGAATGTATCAAGTGACAAATGCCCATTTTTTATGGACAAAATTTTCTATGAGAATTCTTGTAAAGATACCATTTTAAACTGTGAGACTACATTATTGTCATAGCACTTTGTATCGACATGGAATTCTTCGAGGAGGCAAACGGTCGACCCAGTAAATGTCGAAGGCTAGTATCCCAAGTAACAGAGATTCGTCTTTTAAGTGACGAAAACGTGACTGTAGACAATCAATATTACGTCAATTTGACGTTAAAATTTCGTCAAATATCGCGATTAAAAACACGTCAACGTGACTAAATAGTAGTGACGTCAGTATACTTTAACTTGACGTGTTTCAGACGAATCTCTGTAACTTGGGTAGCGGTAATACCGGGTGTTGCAGAAAAGACAGGGGTGCGGGCGGGTTTGCCTACCCGATCTGCCCGTAAGGCGCCATAGCCCCTTGGGTAGGCAAACCCGCCCGCACCCCTGTCTTTTCTGCAACACCCGGTACAAGCTGTCGTTTTTTTAAAAAAAAAGATACATTTTCTGAACAGGTGCGCATCCGGCTGGAGAGAATGGTGAGGAGGTTCCCTGGGAGCATCGTGTTGCCGTAACACCCCCACGCCCACGCGCCCCTGCCAGGCTGCCTACGCCACCCATTCTCCTGAGCCCGCCTGTGCGCAGAGGTGAACATTAGACTATAAACACAACAGTGACTTTGGGAAGTTATCCCACAGAAATTTCGTCCATACCTTACGGATGAAGGCATTTCTGTAATACGGACAATTTTAGCCATATTATGGATGATTTGTGATCCATAGTACGTTTGCACAAAATTCTCCGTAACATACGGGCACATCCATAAGGAAATGAGAGTGTTGTAAATTTACAACATCACTTGTAAATCGTAGTTAAGAGGGATCCAGAGTCTTTCGATACTTACCTACCAGTAGGCTGATTCTGATTAACCCACTGCACTGCACTGCTCTAGTTAGACTGCACCGCACGCTGGCGTGCAGGCGTGTTTGCCTATCTTTCCGGCCCATGCCGCCTGACGGGCCGGGTGCGCAGGCAACTCGCCCCCACGTAGAAATGCGGCACAGTATTTCAATGGATGAGCAGGGCTAATCAGCCACCTTATTGTTCGTTTCATAATAGCTGAGGATCCTGTAGCCGAGGACGTCGTCGTCCACCCCGTCGGCGTGCACATGGCGCGACGGCGGGAGCAGATTCGGAGGGCGGCAATGGCTGCTGCAGCGGCGCAGCAGGGCGCGGATGGGGGGATGATAGGTTAGCGCCACATTTGCTTTATACACAATGTTAAGTCCTTTATGTTACGGACAAGTACCTTTTGTTCTCCCGTCTTACACGCAATTTCTTTGTATGGGAACAACAGTTCAACCGGCAGGTGCAGAGGTCAACGCGGTGGCCATGGGCGCGGAGGTCAGAGACGATCTCGACGTGCCACCGCCACCCCGGTCACCAGGACGGATAAGTCCAGAGCCAGAAAGGACACCACCCGCCTCGCCTGGGGTGCCAGCACCACCCCCACAGCCCCAACCCGATCACGGAGGTGAGCCAATGATTTGTTACGCAACGTCGGGGGTAGGCAATCCTATGTTGCCTCTCCGTATAGTCTGCAGTGCCCGGCACACTTACTCTGCATTAGGCGCATTTCAAACGCAATTAACACGTTCCCTGCGGCGTGACCACTATGTGGTCTAACCCCCTAACCCCCAAATGCACAGCCGCAGGGAACGTGTTAATGCATCAATGCGCATTGTATGCGACTCAGAAGCGTATCCTTTTATGTGCATCCTCGTTTCTGGGGAATCACAAACTACGAGGCTTTCACGTCTACGACTTTACTATTTATTGAGGCACAGACGTTACATTCATTTGACTGCGTAATGTGTCAAATTGCTTATAAATTAATGTTACGTTCGTGAAACGTGACGTGCTTTGCCTCTGTCCTCACCGTGATAAATAAATATCGAAACGATATCGCTTCGACGTCGATTGGACGATTCGTGCCCTGCTGTGCTGACATATCATAACACTGTTTATTTCAAATCAGATGAAGGTGCCGAAGCGGATTGGCCTGTTCGGCGTGGGCGTGGAAGGCCCCGACGTGTGCCAACGGGGAACACCCCGGAGCGCGTCCGCCGGCCAGTGGGGAGGCCTCCCCGGGTGCACACGGGGCACACCCCGGAGCGCGTGCGCCGTCCAGTGGGTCGACCACCTCGTCGCCCTCGCCAGCCGCGAGAGCCGCGAGAGCAGCGAGAGCCGCGAGCGCGACAGCACCGCCGCCGCATACTGCCGATTGGTAAGTCCGAAATTCTAGGGTCAGATACCTTACCTAAATTAACCCAGATTTTCTCCCTTGAGATTCTACATTCTCACTCAAATGAAGAGAGATAACCATTAGTAATCCTAACTCGAAAAGAGCGAGGTTTCCTAATCATCATTTAAATACAGTAAGAATTCTTAAACTATCGCTGTAATGGAGCGAGGAAACCAAACCTCGCTCTCAGGAGAGCGAGAAAATTCCATGCACGATTCTCGATTCTCGCTCTCCGGAGGGCGAGGTCCATTGGAGCGACAGTTTAAGAACTAGTGCGCAATGTAAAGCATTTTACAACGCTTTAAAATCCTTTGCAATGCAAAGACTAGTTCTTCGCAAGCTTTTTACAGTGCGCTAGAGCTAGCGCTAGGGCATATTTTAGTTTATAAACTATTTTACACAGGGTGGTCCACAGACCCCTTCCTTTATTTTGCTTATACTGTACCGGATGCAGGCTTGCGGCCGGGTTGCATACTCGCACTGGGCCAAAAGGCGCAACGGCGAGCTGGGGTAGGCAAGCCCGCCCGCCCGCACGCCTGCATGCTGTACAGTATAAGCAAAATAGAGGAAGGGGTCTGTGGACCAACCTTCGTTCGAAAGTTCGAAACAGATCGGCGTCCTCACCCCTCAAAATGATACACCCTAGTACGTGTGACTTATTTACATTAACTTTTCAAAGACCTGAGCGAATATTTTATCTACCAGGTGACATGGAGGACGATGCGGACGAGCCGGAGGAGCGCGGTCTTGAAATGATTGGCCAGGACGTCGGGCCAGAGGACGGTAAGCACACCAGTGTTTTCTTCCCAACGACAGCTGTTGCACCGCGCTCTACTAGGTCCGGCCGCCGCAGCCCAGGCGCGTTTAAAAAGGGGGTGGG